AAAAAAAATAAAAAATTAAGGTTGGTATTAATATTTAAAAATTAAATTGCTATCTTCATTGTTGCCAACTTCGGGTTTAATATTTTTTATTCTAACTTTTTTGTTTTTTGAGATAAGTGCGTCTTGTTTGGTCTCATTTTAAAGGTCTTTTAATGAAGATGACAAATATGTCAAAATTGACGTTGACGTTTCAAACCGGAAGTGATTGTATCTCCGTTAATATTAATGTTAAATATGTCGAGTTTGGACTCATTTTAAAGGATTTTTTATGAAGTTAAATATGTTAAAGTTGAAAGTTCGAACTTTGTTTTTTTGAGTTAAATGCGTCAAGTATTAAACTTTTAATTTTATACTAACATCTAGAAAACGACACTTTTCATTTTAAAATGTCGCTTAGTCAAGTGATATAATGTGATAATCATAAAAGGATNTAACATATAGAAAACGACACTTTTCATTTTAAAATGTCGCTTAGTCAAGTGATATAATGTAATAATCATAAAAGGATTTTTTAGGGGTTAAATAATGTAATTAAAACTTTTTTTTGTCGTTTTTATTTCATATATTCCCTCTAAACACGAATAATATACAAAGCAAGGGACCGAACTAAAGATCAGTCTTTAATTTGATGTACAGTCAATTTAAAAAGTCACTTTTTTCTCTTCGCTCATTTCAAATGGTTCATTTTGTTGATCTGAATGATTGTAATTGTTTAACATTGGTGGGTACAATCAATTTTGTGAGCAACTGTAGGTTATGCTTAATTTGATGGAATAAATAAATAAAAAAATCGTTCCTTAGATGGTTTATTAATTAATTTTAATACATGAATTTTTTAATTGACTGTACACAAAGTGATTTAGTCGAAATACATTTATTTACAAAATTAATTCAGTTTTTTTTAATTAAAATTAGAAGCATTTCTTAGTTAGGTTTTAAGATTCTATCGACATTAATTTATTTTTTTCCCAATTTCATTAACTGTTTTTTTCTTTAATATAAACAATTAATATATTTACAATTTAATAGAAATTTAGTCGCCAATGATTATGAGGATCTTCCAATAATCATTGACATAGCATAAAATACAAAACGATCAAGAGCAGGTACAAGGAAATAAAATATTTTTTTATTATATACACAAATTCCAATAAAATTTTTTTCAACAATCCGTTTTACTTTAAATCTTCCTAAAAGCCATCATAAAATATAAACAAACCCAAAATCCAACTTTATAACAACATTTACTACTTCTAACACCATTAATATTAGCTTTACTCGGTAGAGATGGTGCAATATCATTAATTGCAGCTAATTTTTCTTTGTTTAGATCATTCGGGCTACTTCTTTGGCGAATATCTACAAAACATTTAAAACGTTAAAGTTAGTAATCGATTTTGTATCTTTTTTAATACAAGAAAACGAATTTAATGGGGTTTTTCGAAAAATATTGGCCACCCTTCGTAGTTCCGCTGGTCACCAATCATTTTAAATGCGACGGCATCCGATTCATATCGAACACCTGATGCTTAGAGAGGTGGGGAAACGAAAAAGCATTTTAGAGAGCGATTCGAAGCAGCTCCTGGTTCCCCGTCATGAAAATGGTTTACGAATTTTGAATACTAATAAGTTCGGAATTGATATTTCTATCATTTTCATAAGACAGTTTTATTATTCCGCTTTTCTAACTTAATATAAACTTTAAAGGGTTAACTTACCCCTTCCTTTCGTTGGTTTCGTATCAGTTATAACATTACTGCTTCCAGAACTTTCCGTTGACTTCTGTTTCTTTTTCTTAGGGAGCTTTGTTGTAAACTCTAAATAAAATCGATATTATTTCACGTTTCACGTAAATTTAAAAGTCACCTTTAAATGTGGGTTTTGTAACAAGTGTTGTAGTTGGTGTGGTTGTTTCTTCAGCTTCCGTTGAAGGCGATGGGATATCTAAAATAATTAAAGATTTAGAAATTTCGAGATTTTCATTGTGAGCACTTTATTATTCGGGAAAGTGGCGGTAAAGTCGACGTTCAAACCGCAACGTTAGGTAATTTACAAACGAGTAAAGCTCGGAAACGTCCGGAAGAGTCGCTATCTAGCGAAAGCTCAGCTACGAAAGCAATGCGGTCCTACCTTTAATTTCCGACGCGACCCTACACCTGAGTTCTCTTCGTCTATTAGTTTTCGCCTCGTAAAGAACTTGTAGTTGTCAACTTTACACATTTTTTATTGCTTTATCAAAAAATCTTTTTAAGATTTTATGGTTTAAGTTTAAATGACATTTATAAAAATGACATCTATAAAATAGTATTAAGAAATATTAAGAGATGGCGCTTTAATTTTTTATTTTTATTTTAATTTTATTTATTATAAATTTAATTATTTTATTTATTAATTCATTTATTTTAATTTATTTAAATTTTTGTAAATGTTGAAATGAATTATGTTTTAGATTAATAATTTTTTTGGTGTTAAAAAATTCCAAGAGATGGTTGTTATTTTTCATTCACATTATTTATTTATATTTGTTTTTGTATTTATTAAATAAACAATATTACGTTTAAGATAATCAGATTTATTTTCTATTTAGTTTTTTATTGTTTTAATTCTATTTTAATTAAAACTTACGAATTGACAATTAAAATTATTTAAAAAAAAAATCAAGAGATGGCGCTTAATTAATTGTCATTCTCCTTATTTATTTATATCTGTTTTTATATTCATTTATATTTATTGAATTAGACAATATTACCTTTAAGATAATTAGATTTAATTTTTATTTATTTTTTATTATTTTAATTCTATTTTAATTAAAACTTACGAATTGACAATTAAAATGATTAAAAAATAAATGAAGAGATGGCGCTTAATTAATATTCATTCTCCTTATTTATGTATATTTGTTTTTATATTTATTTATAATTATTAAATTAAACAATATTACGTTTAAGATAATCAAATTTAACTTCTATTTATTTTTTATTATTTTAATTCTATTTTAATTAAAACTTACGAATTGACAATTAATATTAAAAAAAAAAAATCAAGAGACTTAATTGTCATTCTCCTTATTTATATCTGTTTTTATATTTATTTATATTTATTAAATTAAACAGTATTACCTTTAAAATAATTAGATTTAATTTCTATTTATTTGTTATTATTTTAATTCTATTTTAATTAAAACTCACGAATTGACAATTAAAATTATTAAAAAAAAATCAAGAGATGGCGCTTAAACAATTTTCATTCTCCTTATTTATATTTGTTTTTATATTTATTTATATTTATTAAATTAAACAATATTACCTTTAAGATAATCAGATTTACTTTCTATTTATTTGTTATTATTTGAATTCTATTTTAATTATGACTTACGAATTGACAATTAAAATTATTAAAAAAACAATCAAGAGATGGCGCTTAATCAATATTCATTCTCTTTATTTATTTATATTTATTTTTATATTTATGTATATTCAACAATATTACGTTTAAGATAATCAGACTTAATTTCTATTAATTTTTTTATTATTTTAATTCAATTTTAATTAAAACTTACGAATTGTCAATTAAAATTATCAAAAAGAAATCAAGAGATGGCGCTTAATTAATATTCATTCTCCTTATTTATTTATATCTGTTTTTATATTTATTTATATTTATTGAATTAAACAATATTACCTTTAAGATAATCAAATTTAATTTCTATCCATTTTTTTATTATTTTAATTCTATTTTAATTAAAAATTACGAATTGACAATTAAAGTTATTAAAAAAAATCAAGAGATGGCGCTTAATTAATTGTCATTCTCCTTATTTATTTATATCTGTTTTTATATTTATTTATATTTATTATATTAAACAATATTACGTTTAAGATAATCAGATTTAATTTCTATTAATTTTTTTATTATTTTAATTCAATTTTAATTAAAACTTACGAATTGACAATTAAAATTATTTAAAAAAAAATCAAGAGATGGCGCTTAATTAATTGTCATTCTCCTTATTTATTTATATTTGTTTTTATATTTATTGTATTAAACAATATTAACTTTAAGATAATCAGATTTAATTTCTATTAATTTTTTTATTATTTTAATTCAATTTTAATTAAAACTTACGAATTGACAATTAAAATTATCAAAAAAAAAAATCAAGAGATGGCGCTTTTTAATCAATTTTAAATCATTTGGCATTTAAGGTTATGTTGTTTTTGTGTCATCATAANTGGCGCTTAATTAATTGTCATTCTCCTTATTTATTTATATCTGTTTTATATTTATTTATATTTATTGAATTAAACAATATTACCTTTAAGATAATTAGATTTAATTTTTATTTATTTTTTTATTATTTTAATTCTATTTTAATTAAAACTTACGAATTGACAATTAATATTATTTAAGAAAAAATCAAGAGATGGCGCTTAATATTCATTTTCCTTATTTATTTATATTTGTTTTTATATTTATTATATTAAACAATATTACCTTTAAGGTAATCAGATTTAATTTCTATTTATTTGTTATTATTTTAATTCTATTTTAATTAAAACTTACGAATTGACAATTAAAATTAAAAAAAAATCAAGAGATGGCGCTTAATTAATTGTCATTCTCCTTATTTATTTATATCTGTTTTTTATATTTATTTATATTTATTGAATTAACCAATATTACCTTTAAGATAATTAGATTTAATTTCTATTTATTTTCTTATTATTTTAATTCTATTTTAATTATAACTTACGAATTGACAATTAAAATTATTAAAAAAAAATCAAGAGATGGCGCTTAATCAATATTCATTCTCCTTATTTATTTATATTTCTTTTTATATTTATGTATATTTATTATATTAAACAATATTACGTTTAAGATAATCAGATTTAATTTCTACTAATTTTTTTATTATTTTAATTCTATTTTAATTAAAACTTACGAATTGACAATTAAAATTATTTAAAAAAAAGTCAAGAGATGGCGCTTAATTAATTTTCAGTCTCCTTACTTATTTATATTCGTTTCTATATTTATTTATATTTATTAAATTAAACAATATTACCTTTAAGGTAATCAGATTTAATTCCTATTAATTTTTTTATTATTTTAATTTAATTTTAATTAAAACTTATAAATTGTCAATTAAAATAATCAAAAAAAATATCAAGAGATGGCGCTTTTTAATCAATTTTAAATCATTTGGCATTTAAGGTTATGTTGTTTTTGTGTCATCATAAACGTTTTAGTTACGTTTCAATTAGTGTAGTGAAAAATGAATGCAGAGTTCGTCTTTTGCGGTTTTATGAAAGGTAAGTGTAGATTTAAGATTAAAATAATTCAATTTTACAATCAAAATTGGCAATTTAGAGATTTACTTTTATTTTATTATTTTCCGGTTGAAAATTTTTGTGTTCACGATATCGTATCGATTACGACCTGTGCTGGGCGATTGAACGAGAAACGAGCCGGGGGTTTTTCAAATTAAGGGGGCGCGCGCTATTGGCAGTTTTCAATTCCTCGACCGGAGAGAGCACAGAAATCCGCCGTGAACTCGATTTGCGGTTTTCTCCTTTTTCCCCTTTTTCCTTACTACTACTACAAGCCACTATGTTGGCTTCTGTTAGCTACTTCGCGTTACCGTGAAATGCAAAAGAGTTTCTTCGGTTTTCAACGGCACCTCGTCGTTTTGGTCGTCGTTTTACGACCAACGTTGATTAAGTTACTTTTTTTTTGTTATTTTAATACTTACGATATAATTTAATTGTTCCATCTGTTTCGCCCAAAGAATTCTTCGAGACGCATTTATAAGATCCGTAATCGTTTTGACCGACTGATTTTATGGTTAATTTCATGTGGACTTTGTAAGCGTTGTCTACCATAATAGGTTCATATTTCGCCCCTAGAAAAAAATAAAAATTAAGTTGGTAGTATTACTTTTTAGAATTTGAATGACAGTAAAATTTTTGACATTTTCAACCGGATGTGATATTTCCACAAACAATTTGTGAATCGAAACGAAACCAACAATGCAACGTATCACTCAAAGTGACAATGGTATTCGATTGATTGTCAGGCAAACTCCAAACGTGTTCGTTTCTCTTTTTATTCCTTTTTGAGCATTTCCAGATATGAATGTCGGGCAACCATTGCAATACAACAAACTATGCTAAATATTTATTAGTAAATATTTTGTTTGTTTTACTTTGTATACAAGTTGTTATAAAGTTTCAAAACAAAATGTAACATCGCTTTTATGATTTATTAGCTTTTTTCTCATTGAAAAATGTGCAGATATTTTTCGAGTATCTTTTCATATCGACACGCTTTCGTTTCCCGTTTCAACCTTGTATATTGAAATATTCCCGTTGATTACCTCGCTTCTACCATCGTAAAACTGCGATCGCGAACGAAATCGAAATAAAAACGACTATTTCGACATTTTTATGTCGTGTTTGATTGCCAAGAATATTTTGAACGCAATTTCTTGACTGTATCATTGTATGGGAAGTTATAGTGTTAAGGAGAAAGGCAATCATGTTATTCATTGACGTAGAATTTGCATGGATTAGCGGAATCTCGCTATTACATAGAGATGCGGAGGGAAGCGTATAGTGAGAGAGATATCCAGGTGCGCCTTGTTAATCTAGAACAACACTTTGAACCGGCCTCTAGCTGGAGGAGCATTAGATACCCGTTTGCTTTGGGCCCAGGTAAACACGGGTAATAGCTCGATTATTTGCGAGCGCATTTGCCCCCACACGCCTAAGTCTCGACCTAGTCTCTCTATGAACAGGTGGGGACAGTGCATAAGGCTTGGTTAATCCGACCCCGATTTATGACAAAAGTTGCCGCTCCAAACACATATTTGGTCGAATCTATATGGTTTATTTGAGGATTTCATTGGATTGTCTTTGCGAAAATCCGGAAATTAATCGTAATTCATCAAAATGAAAAATGTTTTTGAATTAAAATGGTAGGTATAGAACCGGTGATATAGATTGTGTAAAATAGGTTTTATTATAACTTTTTTTTAATAACAATTTGTAACTAATTGGTTTTTTAATAAAATTGTTTTTGTGTTCGATATCAAAGCATTTTTATGTAAAATAACATGAAATATTTGGTGGATGGGTTTAATAATTATTAGGTCAACTGAACAACAATGTTTAGAATGCGTATTCAGGTTAGAGAAGTCGATAAAGTTAGACTTTTAAATAAGAGATGTTGCGCAAGATCACTAAAATCATCAACTATATCAGTATATGTTTGTTTTGGTCTACTTACTTTGCACTTGTCTGTTAAAAAAAGACTTGGAGATCCAACTTTGAATAAATAAATACAAGTTAAAAGATGTGTTTCGGCTTTAAGATGTCTTCAAATCGATTAGAACTGTTTTGACACTACCCAACAAGTTTTTGCCATTTTGAGGTATCTTCGAAATGCTGTCAAAAAACATCAAAATCAATTTTTTCAACTCTATCTTCAATTTTGTCATTGTTAAGCGGCTTTAAGATGTTTTGCACTCGATTAGCACCATTTTGACACTAACCATTAAGCTTTTTCCGTTTTCTGCTATCTTTGATATACTGTCAAAAAGCATCAAAATCAATTTTTTTAATTCTGTCATCCTCATTAAGTATTCTAAAGATGTTCTTAGTCGATTAGAACCATTTTGATTCACAACAATCAGCTAATGTTGTGTTTGAAAGTCTTTGTAATTTCCACAAACATCCCTTTTAGTGTTATTACTCAATTTTGTCTTTATTAAGCGGCTTTAAGATGTTCTTAGTCGATTAGAACCATTTTGATTCACAACAATCAGCTAATGTTGTGTTTGAAAGTCTTTGTAATTTCCACAAAACATCCCTTTTAGTGTTATTACTCAATTTTGTCTTTATTAAGCGGCTTTAAAATGTTCTCCAGTCGGTTAGAACCATTTTGACACTAACCAATAAGCTTTTCCCGTTTTCTAGTATCTTTGAAATATTGTCAAAAAGCATCAAAGTCAATTTTTTTAATTCTGTCATTCTCCTTAAGTATTCTAAAGATGTTTTTAGTCGATTAGAACCATTTTGATTCACACCAATCTGCTAATTTTGTATTTGAAAGTCTTTGAAATTTCCACAAAACATCCCTTTTCATGTTATTAATCAATTTTGTCTTTGTTAAGCGGCTTTAAGATGTTTTCCATTCGATTAGAATCATTTCGACACTAACCAAGAAGCTTTTTCCGCTTTCTGGTATCTTTGAAATACCGTCAAAAAGCATCAAAATCAATTTTTTCAATTCTGTCATCCTCGTTAAGTATTCTGAAGATGTTCTTAGTCGATTAGAACCATTTTGATTCACAACAATCAGCTAATGTGTTTGAAAGTCTTTGTAATAAGCTTTTTCCATTTTTTGATATCATTGAAATATTAGAAATACCAAAAATATCATTGGATTTTGGTCCAGAACGCCCATAGCTATACGCGCGCCAATTATTGCTCAACAGATGTGCGCCATGTACGCCACACGAGCTAGAAATTTACGTGCGCCATCTATCACCCATCAGGCAAAATCTCCCCCGCTTAACTGTCCACCGCTAAGTGACGCCACACAATTCGCGAACTCTACTGCTAGGTGGCGCCTTATGAGCTAGGCAACCGACAACTCGCAAACTCTATCCATCGTTCCACCATCCACCTAGGTGGTAGGCAGCGAACAACTCGCGCGCCGTACAGAACTCCATCCACCACCGAAACAGGCAACCACCGTGTTCCACCGCTAGATGGCTTCTCCAGACATCTCTTGGGTTTAGTTCCACTACTAGCCACTAGGTGGCGCAATAAAAAATCACCAGATCTAGTAACTTTTTCAATACCAACCTAAATCTACTTACTTTTTTGACCCCCAGATTTAGGTTGGTGACTAAAAGTCATAAGATCCAGTAACTTTTCCAATGCCAACCTAAATCTAGTTACTTTTTTCCCCAATTAGCTAATCTTGTATTTTTATTTTCTGGGAAACATCCCTTTTACTGTTATTAACTTATTTTGTCGCGGCTTTAAGATGTTTTCTAGTCGATTAGACCCATTTTGACACTAACCAATAATATAAGTACGAAGGCTTTCACGGCCAATAACTAACCAATAATCTTTTTCCATTTTCCGGTATCTTTGAAATACTGCCAAAAAGCATCAAAGTCAATTTTTTCAATTCTGTCATCTTCGTTAAGTATTCTAAAGATGTTCTTAGTCGATTAGAACCATTTTGATTCACAACAATCAGCTAATGTTGTGTTTGAAAGTCTTTGTAATTTCCACAAAACATCCCTTTTAATGTTATTACTCAATTTTGTCTTTATTAAGCGGCTTTAAAATGTTCTCCAGTCGGTTAGAACCATTTTGACACTAACCAATAAGCTTTTACCGTTTTCTAGTATCTTTGAAATATTGTCAAAAAGCATCGAACTCAATTTTTTTAATTCTGCCATCCTTCTTAAGTATTCTAAAGATGTTTTTAGTCGATTAGAACCATTTTGATTCACACCAATCTGCTAATTTTGTATTTGGAAGTCTTTGAAATTTCCACAAAACATCCCTTTTAATGTTATTAATCAATTTTGTCTTTGTTAAGCGGCTTTAAGATGTTTTCCATTCGATTAGAATCATTTTGACTCTAAACAATAAGTTTTTTCCGTTTTCTGGTATCTTCGAAATATTGTCAAAAAGTATCAGAATCAATTTTTTTAATTCTGTCATCCTCGTTTAGTATTTTAAGGATGTTTTTAGTCGATTAGCACCATTTTGGCACTAACCAATACGCTTTTTCCATTTTCTGGTATCTTAGAAATACTGCCAAAAAACATCAAAATCATTTTTTTTAATTCTATCATCTTCGTTAAGTATTATAGAGATGTTTTTAGTCGATTAGAACCATTTTGACACTAACCAATAAGCCTTTTTCATTTTCTGGTATCTTTGAAATACTGTCAAAAAACATCAAAATCAATTTTTTAATTCTGTCATCCTCGTTAAGTATTGTAGAGATGTTTTTAGTCGATTAGAACCATTTGGCTCACATCAATCAGCTAATTTTAATCAATTTTTTAGGTTGGTCACTAAAAGTCACCAGATCTAGTAACTTTTCCAAATACCAACCTAAATCTAGTTATGTTGAAATGAAATAAGTAATAATAAGTGGGCCTCTTGACCTCTAAAGTTTTTTTGTTAATTAAGTTTATGTACTTGGTAGTTACTTAGTTTATGTACCAAGTACATAAGCTTAATTAATAAAAAACTTTAGAGGTCAAGAGGCCTACTTATTATTACTTATTTCATTTCAACATATATTATACCTCTAATACAATGGATCTTTTAAAATAAATCTAGTTACTTTTTTCGCCTCCCAGATTTAGGTTGGTCACTTTCCCTATCTTATAACAATGAAGCGTGACGTCACATAATCCATAATCCTGATCTTGACGTCTCATTTCTATACTGCTCATTCCTTTTAATGTTATTTATTTATTTTGTCTATGTTAAGCGGCTCTAAGATGTTTTCCACTCGATTAGAACCATTTTGACATTAACCAATAAGCTTTTTCCATTTTTTGGTATCTTTGAAATACTGTCAAAAAACATCAAAATCAATTTTTTGAATTCTGCCATCTTCGTTAAGTATTGTAGAGATGTTTTTAGTCGATTAGAACCATTTTGATTCACACCAATCAGCTAATCTTGTATTTGAATTTTCTGGAAAACATCCCTTTTAGTGTTATTAACTTATTTTGTCTTTATTAAGGAGCTTTAAGATGTTTTTCACTCGATCTTTTTCCAATTTTCCAATACTTTCGCAAAATTAAAATTATATATGACTATAAATTTTTTAATATACGAAAAATAAACTGTTAAATTTGAAAACTTGATAATTATGACCTAATTTTCTGGTATCTTTGAAATACCGTCAAAAAGCATCAGAATCAATTTTTTTTTTAATTCTGTCATCCTCGTTTAGTATTTTAAGGATGTTTTTAGTCGATTAGCACCATTTTGACACTAACCAATACGCTTTTTCCAGTTTTTGGTATCTTAGAAATACTGCCAAAAAACATCAAAATCATTTTTTTTAATTCTGTCATCTTCGTTAAGTATTATAGAGATGCTTTTAGTCGATTAGAACCATTTTGACACTAACCAATAAGCCTTTTCCATTTTTTGGTATCTTTGAAATACTGTCAAAAAACATCAAAATCAATTTTTTGAATTCTGCCATCTTCGTTAAGTATTGTAGAGATGTTTTTAGTCGATTAGAACCATTTTGATTCACACCAATCAGCTAATCTTGTATTTGAATTTTCTGGAAAACATCCCTTTTAGTGTTATTAACTTATTTTGTCTTTATTAAGGAGCTTTAAGATGTTTTTCACTCGATCTTTTTCCAATTTTCCAATACTTTCGCAAAATTAAAATTGTATATGACTATAAATTTTTTAATATACGAAAAATAAACTGTTAAATTTGAAAACTTGATAATTATGACCTAATTTTGCGGTTACTCGCCCACCCTTATTATTTTCAAAACTCCCTCGAGATAACTTAGGGAAATGAAGACAGCGGGGGAGGAAATTACAGTAGGTTTTTATAACTGGACGTTAAAACCGATTGTTTACGACCTGTTACTTGAAAACTTTTCTTATATCTCATCAAAAAAAGATTTGATCAAATAATTAATTGAAAAGTTATGAAATTAAATTAATCTAACTAAACGGTAGTAACTTTGAGCATTTCGCAAACCGCACAATTCAATTCGCGGGAATTATAACGGTTCCGGAAAAGAATGCTAGGATAATGGGGGGGAATCCCCGAATTGTAATTGCAAACGGTCGTCGTTTGGTGGTGTTGCTTGGTGCCGGAGAGCTAACGCGGAGCGCTTCCACCGGACATCAAAGCAACATTAGCAATTCCGTTTTGGCAATTAAACTTTGGTAGGAGAACGCGTCTTTGCTTCACCCCAAAACCCTACAACGAACGTTAAAGGACACGATCTAGTCTCTGTGATGTCTCCATCCTTTGAGTTCCATCAAAATAAATCAACAAAAGAAAATGAACTTAAATTTATTTTTATACCTACCTTGCGAGATAATGTTTCCACCATCTTTAGTCCAATAATTGATTGATTTAGGGTAAGCTTCCGAATGACACTCCAATGTAATTTCTTGCGCAATCATCGCACCAACAAGCTGATTTTGGATCCAAATCATTGGAGGAACTAAATTTATAGATAAAAATCGAATTAACTTTTTTTTTAGAAAAAATTAATATTTAAATTGAGTTTATCTTACAGTGAACTATTAAACTGATTCTTTTACTAACGGATGGAGGAACTCCATTCGATGCTATACACAAGTAGGGACCCATATGGAGTCTGTTAACCCTGGTAATATTGAAGATGCTCCCTTCGATCGACGGCGCTGTGAAAAGAAAGAGTCCGAAAATCCGTTGGGATTAATTTTGACGTTGTGGACGAAACGAAGCAATTTTAGGGTGGTGTTCGTTTTATTTACTTGGGTAGGGAAAACGGTGGGTTGAGTTGGGTGGGGGGCTTTTTGGGTATGTGTTTCTGTATACGAGATGCACATATAGGTGGGTGAGAGGAGGGGGGAATTCGAATGTACACCGGGCGCGTTTGTACCTATCCAATTGGCTTAAGAGCATGGGCTGCAACACGGCTTTGATCTTTTTGAACCTGTGATGCCGCGAAATGCGCACATCCGGTGGTATCTACTAACGCCACCGGTTAAATAACGGTTAAGTGCATCGCCTGAAATAGTAGTGTCGAGTTGAAATGAAAACTTTGTTATTACAGTAAAACCTCCAGCTAACAGAAAAATAAAATATTCTTAACTCTATCTATTTAATACAATGTTAGAGCTCATAGATAGAATCCAACTCGGGTTATTCCCAAAGTTGCTCTATTCCATGTTCATAAATAAATCCGGGGTTTTTGGCACTAGATTGTTGTATATTTTTATTGATCCAAGAGACGTACGGCTGAAGCCAAAACTTTTTAGTGTCAAAATAATATTAAGATGGTTAAAACTTAACTTAAATCGACCTATTTTGAGTCAAGGAATTTGTGGTCTTCGTTGTACACGCATTTCGGAGACACCCTGTATAGTATAAAATATAAGATAGTATATACAGCTGTCCCGTATCTTCCGCATCCGAGCATTATACGGTTGTAGAATACATTATTCTGAAGCGATCTTTCTAATAAAATTTTTTCGAAATGTTTATATTAACCGCACGGGAACTGTTTAAAGGAACTGTTTTTCGTCCAATCAGCAGATCGCAAATCAGACTCAGGTAATCGGTGCCACCCTCGGCCGGTCCGCTACGCCGATGATAACTCGTTTCCCACGTGTACTCACCAATAAATTCGTCATGGAAAGAGAAATAAACTTTTTCGATGAATCAAAGTTGTCCGTTATTGGTTGTCGTTAAACAGTTCCCGTGCGGTTATTATAAACATTTCGAAAAAATTTTATTAGAAAGATCGCTTCAGAATAATGTATTCTACAACCGTATAATGCTCTGATGCGGAAGATACGGGACACGCTGTATAGTATACTTGTAAGATAGAGAAAGTAACCAACCTAAATCTGGGGGGCGAAAAAATTTACTAGATTTAGGTTGGTATTGGAAAAGTTACTAGATCTGGTGACTTTTGGTGACCAACCTAAAAAATTGATTAAAATTAGCTAATTGATCTGAGCCAAATGGTTCTAATCAACTAAAAAAACATCTCTACAATACTTAACGAGGATGACAGAATTAAAAAAATTGATTTTGATGTTTTTTGATAGTATTTCAAAGATATCAAATATTGGTTAGTGTCAAAATAGTTCTAATCGATTGAAAAACATTTTAAAGTCGCTTAACAAATACAAAATTGCTTAATAACATTAAAAGGGATGTTTTATGGAAATTATAGAGACTTTCAAATACATAATTAGCTGATTGGTGTGAATCAAAATGGTTCTAATCGACTAAAAACATCTCTAGAATACTAAACGAGGATGATAGAGTTGAAAAAATTGATTTTGACGTTTTTTGACAGTGTTTAAAAGATATCAAAAAATGGAAAAAACTTATTGGTTAGTGTCAAAATGGTTCTAATCGAGTAAAAACATCTCTAGAATACTTAACGAGGATGACAGAATTAAAAAAATTGTTTTTGATGCTTTTTGACAGTATTTCAAAGATACCAGAAAATGGAAAAAAGTTATTGGTTAGTGTCAAAATGGTTCTAATCGAGTTGAAAACATCTTAAAGTCGCTTAACAAGAACAAAATAAATTAACAACATTAAAAGGGATTGAATTAAATGGATCCATGTTGCAAGTTCGGAAAGTATATAAAAAAGAAAATAAAAACTTCTTACATGCTAACATTTTTTAATTTATACGGGACTAGTATCAAAATCGAATTGAGCTCTTTCAACTTCTCACTTTATATAAATTTTATGTCTTGTTGTTTGTGCGTTTGATGTGTCGTTTAATTTTAATTATAAATAGTAAACATTTTATTCATATAGTGTAAGGATTTTGCAAATGTTTCAAATATTGATTTTCCTGTTTTAATAGTGATTTTGACAATTCGGCTGAAGATGAGGTTAATGGCTCGAAACAAGTCCCGTATAAATTAAAAAATTTTAGCAAGTAAGAAGTATTTATTTTCTTTTTTGCATTAAAAAGGATGTTTTGTTTAAATTTCAAAGACTTTTAACACCAAATTAGCTGATTGGTGTGAATCAAAATGGTTCTAATCGACTAAAAACATCTCTAGAATACTTAACGAGGATGACAGAATTAAAAAAATTGTTTTTGATGCTTTTTGACAGTATTTCAAAGATACCAGAAAATGGAAAAAAGTTATTGGTTAGTGTCAAAATGGTTCTAATCGAGTGGAAAACATCTTAAAGCCGCTTAAGAAGACAAAATAAATTAATAACATTAAATGGAATACGTAGTATAAAAATAAGAGTTCAAAATCAGGATTATGGATTATGTAACCTCACGCTCCAAAGTTATAAGATAGAGTAAGTGACCAACCTAAATCTGGGGTCGAAAAAAGTAACTAAATTTAGGTTGGTATTGGAAAAGTTACTAGACCTGGTGACTTTTAGTGACCAACCTAAAAAATTGATTAAAATTAGCTGATTGATGTGAGCCAAATGGTTTTAATCGACTAAAAACATCTCTACAATACTTAACGAGGATGACAGAATTAAAAAAATTGATTTTGATGTTTTTTGATAGTATTTCAAAGATATCAGAAAATGAAAAAGGCTTATTGGTTAGTGTCAAAATAGTTCTAATCGATTGAAAAACATTTTAAAGTCGCTTAACAAATACAAAATCGCTTAATAACATTAAAAGGGATGCTTTATGGAAATTACAGAGACCTTCAAATACATAATTAGCTGATTGGTGTGAATCAAAATGGTTCTAATCGACTAAAAACATCTCTAGAATACTAAACGAGGATGATAGAGTTGAAAAAATTGATTTTGACGGTTTTTGACAGTGTTTCAAAGATACCAAAAACTCTAAAAAGCTTATTAGTTAGTGTCAAAATGTTTCTAATCGACTAAAAACATCTCTAGAATACTTAACGAATATGACAGAATTAAAAAATTTGATTTTGTTACTACTTCAAAGATACTAGAAAATGTGAAAAAGCTTATTGGTTAGTGTCAAAATGGTTCCAATCGAGTTAAAAACATCTTAAAGTCGCTTAACAAGGATAAAATGAATTAATAACATTAAAAGGGATGTTTTGTTTAAATTTCAAAGACTTTCAAACACCAAATTAGCTGATTGGTGTCAATCAAAATGGTTCCAATCGACTAAAAACATCTCTAGAATACTTAACGAGGATGACAGAATTAAAAAAATTGTTTTTGATGCTTTTTGACAGTATTTCAAAGATACTAGAAAATGGAAAAAAGTTATTGGTTAGTGTCAAAATGGTTCTAATCGAGTTGAAAACATCTTAAAGTCGCTTAACAAGAACAAAATAAATTAACAACATTAAAAGGGATTGAATTAAATGGATCCATGTTGCAAGTTCGGAAAGTATATAAAAAAGAAAATAAAAACTTCTTACATGCTAACATTTTTTAATTTATACGGGACTAGTATCAAAATCGAATTGAGCTCTTTCAACTTCTCACTTTATATAAATTTTATGTCTTGTTGTTTGTGCGTTTGATGTGTCGTTTAATTTTAATTATAAATAGTAAACATTTTATTCATATAGTGTAAGGATTTTGCAAATGTTTCAAATATTGATTTTCCTGTTTTAATAGTGATTTTGACAATTCGGCTGAAGATGAGGTTAATGGCTCGAAACAAGTCCCGTATAAATTAAAAAATTTTAGCAAGTAAGAAGTATTTATTTTCTTTTTTGCATTAAAAAGGATGTTTTGTTTAAATTTCAAAGACTTTTAAACACCAAATTAGCTGATTGGTGTGAATCAAAATAGTTCTAATCGACTAAAAACATCACTAGAATACTTAACGAGGATGACAGAATTAAGAAAATTGTTTTTGATGCTTTTTGACAGTATTTCAAAGATACCAGAAAATGGAAAAAGGTTATTGGTTAGTGTCAAAATGGTTCTAATCGAGTGGAAAACATCTTAAAGCTGCTTAACATAGACAAAATAAATTAATAAAAAATGAGAGTTCAAAATCAGGATTATGGATTACATGACGTCCCGCTCCTATGTTATAAGATAGAGAAAGTGACCAACCTAAATCTGGGGGGGGGGCGAAAAAAGTAACTAAATTTAGGTTGGTATTGAAAAAGTTACTAGATCTGGTGACTTTTAGTGACCAACCTAAAAAATTGATTAAAATTAGCTGATTGATGTGAGCCAAATGGTTTTAATCGACTAAAAACATCTCTACAATACTTAACGAGGATGACAGAATCAAAAAAATTGATTTTGATGTTTTTTGATAGTATTTCAAAGATATCAGAAAATGAAAAAGGCTTATTGGTTAGTGTCAAAATAGTTCTAATCGATTGAAAAACATTTTAAAGTCGCTTAACAAATACAAAATCGCTTAATAACATTAAAAGGGACGTTTTATGGAAAGTACAGATACTTTCAAATATATAATTAGCTGATTGGTGTGAATCAAAATGGTTCTCATCGACTAAAAACATCTCTAGAATACTTAACGAAGATGACAGAATTGAAAAAAATGACTTTGATGCTTTTTGGCAGTATTTCAAAGATACCAGAAAACGGAGAAAGCTTATTGGTTAGTGTCAGAATCGTTCTAATCGAGTGGAAAACATCTTGTCTTCAATGTTTCTTAAAAAAAGACAAAATAGAAAAGTCTAAAGACGGCTAAACCCTAATGTTTCTAGATTTGCTAGACCTAAATCTATGATCA